ATTGTGCACTTTTTCTTTTATGCATAACCACGTACGTTTAACTTTGTTTTCTTTTTTTAGTGTATATTAATAGCCACTATAAAGAACCAAAGGTTTATTTTTAGAAGTAACTGTAACTTCAGCTACATCAGTCATGATACGGAAATAACAAAAATCTTCGTAAAAATTAAATATAAATTTTAATAAACGTGTAAGTACCTCAGTGTTCGATTTTATAATAAATTATGAACAAATGGGGAACTCTTATATCTATTTAAAAACAGTGCCCATATACCAACACCTATTTAATGAGATTAAGGGTAAAACCCTCGTAAATTATTTTAAATAAAATCCAGGAAACAACTATTGTACTATATGTTTAATAAAATTAAGAGTAAAATTATGCAAATAAAATCCAGGAAACAACTATTGTAATACCTGTTAAATAATATTAAGAGTAAAAACCCTTAAATATTTTATAAAGATATAATAGGTATAATGTATTAAAACACATGTTCTTTATCATTATTTAATATTTTAAGTTTACTTACCTGCTTGATCTTGCTCTTTTATTTATTCTACCTACTTGGATACAGCTAGGGCGCAAGTGCCACTCTCTTGACCGTTCTTAAAAAACAGGTATGCTCGAAAAAGATACCCGAGCGCAAGTGCCACACTTTTCGTGGAAAGCGCAAATACCACGAGCGCATCTACCACGAACCCACATCTATGTACAGCTTTTGACCAAATCTATTTGTTAATATTTCCCGATTAAAACATCTTTGTGATGCTCTCTTTATTTTCTCCTCCGTCTTGTAGTATATGTCATTTCAAGCATTCTAACTCCAATTACTTTTTTTATATCGGGATTAGCTAATAAAGTCAAACATGTCTGTATAGTTTACCAAAAATGTGACGTTGCTACTTCGCTTATTGATATGACAATATTTTATTATTGCCTTCCCTAATGTTTAATTAGTTATCTAGAGAATGCTTACAGTAAACATTCAATTTTTTACTACAATATTTACACATGGATTTCAAAAAATTCCATATTATTTGTAGATCTACTATCTAAAAAAAAAAAGAGAATAAATATTATTGTTTGCTCTATGGTATTAATTTATTTACCTGTAGTCAGTAGCGGCTCTAGGGGGAACGAAGCGCAAAAGTCATCCTAACTAGCAATCACACGTCATTATTACGTGATTTTTTGAGAACCTTTAGGTCTTAAAACTAAAAATAGGTCATGAGATATAACGTCAGCCGCAGACCAGAGATGTGATTTAAGGACCTTATTTTAACGTCACAGGTGACTTTACTATCAGATATAATTCACGTTTTAATTATTGTAAATAGGTATTTTGTGGATATCGGTATAAATGCTATTATTTTGCTACTGTTAACGCAATATTTGTTTGTTGTCAAAGTTTTTTTTTTAATTTTATGTTACGAAATGCAAGACAGATATGTTATATTTAACTTGGTCAACGAAATTGGTTCCAAAAGGTATCGAAATATGCATCCGCTTTAACATTAAAACTGACCGAACCAGATATATTTAAGAGTGGTGCGTTGTTTTTAGGCCCAAACCTGTTTCACCAGAAGAAGATGCTTAAGTGTTTTGGTAAGGATTTCCGAATTTTATCTATTATAGCAGATGTTAGGTCTAATAAAGAGTTATCGCATATACATCCGTCATTTAAAAAGTTTTTTAATGGCAAAGAGGAGAATCAGAAGAATGTTACACACTGATTTATGGGTCAATACCATAGGACCAAAATCCAAGAAGGTGCTGGAAACGTATTTATTGTGGAAAGACTTAATTTTTCTGGTCTGTAGTATGCAGTATTTTGATCATAAAAGAGAAATGGATAACATCATTAAACATTACTTCAAAGTATATAGCGACGTTTTAAAGAAATACAATTGTTACGGACCACAGATTTTTTACGACAAATTTTTGAAAGAGTTTACAGAAAACATAGACCAACTTATTGGAAAATACACGTACATGCTCCCAATTGCAGTTTTTAACAAAATAGGAAATACATTTGATGGAAAAATCACAACAATTTAGTAGTTTTAGATTTGTTTTTTTTTTATATGCCTTATTGATTAATTTTTACATTATTTAAAGATGGTGTTTTGTCAAAATTAAAAACATTCTGATTTCATTTGCAAACACTTTTATAAGATAATCAAGATAAAATAAACATTAGGTACAAAAAATATTAGAACACAATAATGATGGCTTTTATGCCAGAAACAGTTGTCTACTTTTTTTCAATAAAATATTGTGTGGCGCTTTGAGGAACAGAATAACGTTTTTCATTTTGTCAGATTTTGTGATTTTAAATAAACATTTATCCTTTAAATAGCAAAAATCCTAATTAAGATTTTTAAAGGAAATTATCCAACAATTATTTGTCCAAGATTTATTCAAAAATTATTTCCTAAAAAATAATTTGTCCAAAAATAATTTGTCCAAAGATAATTAGTCTAAAAAATAATTTGTTCAAACATAATTTGTCCAAAAATACTTTTGTAAAAACATATTGTAAAAACAATTTGTAAAAACAATTTGTATTAGCTAAAGGGTAATAGAAATTCACTTTACAAAAATAAACTTTATTAATCAATAATGGTTGAACAGCTAATAATCAATGCCTAAAAATGCCTGTCTATATTTCTCTTTCTTCCTTGTTAAAACTGCGTCTGTCCACTCATCGAAATATTAGTAGAATATCTTGTGTCAGCGAAAGACGCACCGCTCCCAAAAATACTACAGAGAGTGTCAAGCAAATGTGTATGTAATAAATACTGGAAGCTAACATTTGTAAAAACAATTTTTAAAAACAATTTGTAAACAATTTGTAGAAACAATTTGTAAAAATAATTTGCAAAAATAATTTGTAAAAACAATTTGTAAAAATAATTTGCAAAAATAATTTGTAAAAACAATTTGTAAAAACAATTTGTAAAAGCAATTTATAAAAACAATTTGTAAAAACAATTTGTAAAAACAATTTGTAAAAACAATTTGAAAAATCAATTTGTAAGAACAATTTGAAAAACAATTTGAAAAACAATTTGAAAAACAATTTGAAAAACAATTTGAAAAACAATTTGTAAAAACAATTTGTAAAAACAATTTGTAAAACAATTTGTAAAAACAATTTGTAAAAACAATTTGTAAAAACAATTTGTAAAAACAATTTGTAAAAACAATTTGTAAAAACAATTTGTAAAAACAATTTGTAAAAACAATTTGTAAAAACAATTTGTAAAAATAATTTGTAAAAACAATTTGTAAAAACAATTTGTAAAAACAATTTGTAAAAACAATTTGTAAAAACAATTTGTAAAAACAATTTGTAAAAACAATTTGTAAAAACAATTTGTAAAAACAATTTGTAAAAACAATTTGTAAAAACAATTTGTAAAAACAATTTGTAAAAACAATTTGTAAAAACAATTTGTAAAAACAATTTGTAAAAACAATTTGTAAAAACAATTTGTAAAAACAATTTGTAAAAACAATTTGTAAAAACAATTTGTAAAAACAATTTTTAAAAACAATTTTTAAAAACAATTTGTAAAAACAATTTGTAAAAACAATTTGTAAAAACAATTTGTAAAAACAATTTGTAAAAACAATTTGTAAAAACAATTTGTAAAAACAATTTGTAAAAACAATTTGTAAAAACAATTTGTAAAAACAATTTGTAAAAACAATTTGTAAAAACAATTTGTAAAAACAATTTTTAAAAACAATTTGTAAAAACAATTTGTAAAAACAATTTGTAAAAACAATTTGTAAAAACAATTTGTAAAAACAATTTGTAAAAACAATTTGTAAAAACAATTTGTAAAAACAATTTGTAAAAACAATTTGTAAAAACAATTTGTAAAAACAATTTGTAAAAACAATTTGTAAAAACAATTTGTAAAAACAATTTGTAAAAACCAATTTGTAAAAACAATTTGTAAAAACAATTTGTAAAAACAATTTGTAAAAACAATTTGTAAAAACAATTTGTAAAAACAATTTGTAAAAACAATTTGTAAAAACAATTTGTAAAAACAATTTGTAAAAACAATTTGTAAAAACAATTTGTAAAAACAATTTGTAAAAACAATTTGTAAAAACAATTTGTAAAAACAATTTGTAAAAACAATTTGTAAAAACAATTTGTAAAAACAATTTGTAAAAACAATTTGTAAAAACAATTTGTAAAAACAATTTGTAAAAACAATTTGTAAAAACAATTTGTAAAAACAATTTGTAAAAACAATTTGTAAAAACAATTTGTAAAAACAATTTGTAAAAACAATTTGTAAAAACAATTTGTAAAAACAATTTGTAAAAACAATTTGTAAAAACAATTTGTAAAAACAATTTGTAAAAACAATTTGTAAAAACAATTTGTAAAAACAATTTGTAAAAACAATTTGTAAAAACAATTTGTAAAAACAATTTGTAAAAACAATTTGTAAAAACAATTTGTAAAAACAATTTGTAAAAACAATTTGTAAAAACAATTTGTAAAAACAATTTGTAAAAACAATTTGTAAAAACAATTTGTAAAAACAATTTGTAAAAACAATTTGTAAAAACAATTTGTAAAAACAATTTGTAAAAACAATTTGTAAAAACAATTTGTAAAAACAATTTGTAAAAACAATTTGTAAAAACAATTTGTAAAAACAATTTGTAAAAACAATTTGTAAAAACAATTTGTAAAAACAATTTGTAAAAACAATTTGTAAAAACAATTTGTAAAAACAATTTGTAAAAACAATTTGTAAAAACAATTTGTAAAAACAATTTGTAAAAACAATTTTTAAAACCGATTTAACGAAAAATAATTATTCCAAAAATAATTTCCACTGAATAAATCGGGTATATATTTATAATAAAGTATATTTTTATCTCGCCGACAAATCTTTGCAGTACGGGGTACGGATCTGTTATAACTATATTATTTAGAAGTTAAACAATAAATACCATTGTAACGCTCGCTTTGATCCACAGTATTAGTGACATATCTCAAAAGTGTTAATTCGGCATTTTAGATCTATTCATAATCATGGAAGAAATAAAAAATTTCGATGAACTTATTCAAGATTATATCGGACCTCACAAAACTATAGTCGAAACACACTTTTCAAATTTATTAGAACCCGGTGAAAATTATCTTAGTGAAATAAAAAAAATTGACGTGGTTCTGAAAAATGAAGAAACTGATGCATTAGAAAATTTAGATTTGGTAGCAAAATGTGTTATGGTTATTGAATTTGGTCCGACTATCCAGCTCATGAGTAGTGAAATAAATTTTTTTAAGAATGTTATTCCTGCTTTAAAAAAATTTCAAGAAAAGCGTGGTGGACCACCAATTACTTTTTTCCCTGAATTAGTTGGTGCTAGACTGAATTTGATGGGAAGTGAAACACCTGATATGGATGCAGTCCTAGTACAGAAAAATTTGAAAGTGGAAGGTAATTTATAATAAAAAAAAAAGATATCTGATCATTAAATATTGCACGTTTTAATTTCTGAAATAAAGAAAGTATTATTTTATTGTCGATAAAAAAATCAATAAATATATACCGTTTTTTATATAATAATTAAATAACTTCAAAGCCAGTTGGCAAAGACTTTTAAAATATAATACAACTTTTCATGAACTAAATTTTAGTTGAAAAAAATGTTATTTGTGTTCATTTGGTGTCGGAAGTAGTCATTTATTTTTTTATCTTCACCGTATTATCTAAAAAAACCGTTAGTTGAAGATCATAGTAGGGTAAAACTCCATTTGTGGGCACCTTTAAAGAGAATGTCATAGATACTAATAATATTGCAAAATAAAGAACATAAGAAGGCTCGCAATATACCAAATTTCCTTTTGACATTTTAATTATAGACTTTATTAGGCCAATTCCCGAATTATAGGGCATCAAAAACATAATAGTCGGAGAGCTAGACACACAAATTTCATTAAGTGTTTGATGCACTTTGAAATTTTGTAATTTGAAATCATTTGGATGGAAAAGCAGATATACCTGTATTGGCTAGACCCACCCCGGGATACCAGGTACTGCGCATAATACAAAGGGGTCGTAAAATATGACGCAAAAAAGTGTTTGATTCAGAGGCCAACAAACAACAATTGAAAGTTTAGGTAATTCTAAAAATACAAGTAATTTAGGCAGACACTTTTGAGAGGGTTCATAATTAATAAATCAACCCCAAAGTTGATTTTTTTTTAAATATGATTTGAAGTGTTCGATTCACGCTGAAATTTTAATAGCGTCTTAATTAAATATTAAAAAAAAATAATTCCAAAAAGGCAGACACTTTTTCCGGGGTTTAATTGCCGGCCAACATAAAACTAAGTCCTATTTACTATAGTAATAAATTGTTATATATTATTATTAAATTAGATTAGATTAGATTAGATTAGATTAGATTAGATTAGATTAGATTAGATTAGATTAGATTAGATTAGATTAGATTAGATTAGATTAGATTAGATTAGATTAGATTAGATTAGATTAGATTAGATTAGATTAGATTAGATTAGATTAGATTAGATTAGATTAGATTAGATTAGATAGATTAGATTAGATTAGATTAGATTAGATTAGATTAGATTAGATTAGATTAGATTAGATTAGATAGATTAGATTAGATTAGATTAGATTAGATTAGATTAGATTAGATTAGATTAGATTAGATTAGATTAGATTAGATTAGATTAGATTAGATTAGATTAGATTAGATTAGATTAGATTAGATTAGATTAGATTAGATTAGATTAGATTAGATTAGATTAGATTAGATTAGATTAGATTAGATTAGATTAGATTAGATTAGATTAGATTAGATTAGATTAGATTAGATTAGATTAGATTAGATTAGATTAGATTAGATTAGATTAGATTAGATTAGATTAGATTAGATTAGATTAGATTAGATTAGATTAGATTAGATTAGATTAGATTAGATTAGATTAGATTAGATTAGATTAGATTAGATTAGATTAGATTAGATTAGATTAGATTAGATTAGATTAGATTAGATTTAGATTAGATTAGATTAGATTTAGATTAGATTAGATTAGATTAGATTAGATTAGATTAGATTAGATTAGATTAGATTAGATTAGATTAGATTAGATTAGATTAGATTAGATTAGATTAGATTAGATTAGATTAGATTAGATTAGATTAGATTAGATTAGATTAGATTAGATTAGATTAGATTAGATTAGATTAGATTAGATTAGATTAGATTAGATTAGATTAGATTAGATTAGATTAGATTAGATTAGATTAGATTAGATTAGATTAGATTAGATTAGATTAGATTAGATTAGATTAGATTAGATTAGATTAGATTAGATTAGATTAGATTAGATTAGATTAGATTAGATTAGATTAGATTAGATTAGATTAGATTAGATTAGATTAGATTAGATTAGAATTAGATTAGATTAGATTAGATTAGATTAGATTAGATTAGATTAGATTAGATTAGATTAGATTAGATTAGATTAGATTAGATTAGATTATATTAGATTAGATTAGATTAGATTAGATTAGATTAGATAGATTAGATTAGATTAGATTAGATTAGATTAGATTAGATTAGATTAGATTAGATTAGATTAGATTAGATTAGATTAGATTAGATTAGATTAGATTAGATTAGATTAGATTAGATTAGATTAGATTAGATTAGATTAGATTAGATTAGATTAGATTAGATTAGATTAGATTAGATTAGATTAGATTAGATTAGATTAGATTAGATTAGATTAGATTAGATTAGATTAGATTAGATTAGATTAGATTAGATTAGATTAGATTAGATTAGATTAGATTAGATTAGATTAGATTAGATTAGATTAGATTAGATTAGATTAGATTAGATTAGATTAGATTAGATTAGATTAGATTAGATTAGATTAGATTAGATTAGATTAGATTAGATTAGATTAGATTAGATTAGATTAGATTAGATTAGATTAGATTAGATTAGATTAGATTAGATTAGATTAGATTAGATTAGATTAGATTAGATTAGATTAGATTAGATTAGATTAGATTAGATTAGATTAGATTAGATTAGATTAGATTAGATTAGATTAGATTAGATTAGATTAGATTAGATTAGATTAGATTAGATTAGATTAGATTAGATTAGATTAGATTAGATTAGATTAGATTAGATTAGATTAGATTAGATTAGATTAGATTAGATTAGATTAGATTAGATTAGATTAGATTAGATTAGATTAGATTAGATTAGATTAGATTAGATTAGATTAGATTAGATTAGATTAGATTAGATTAGATTAGATTAGATTAGATTAGATTAGATTAGATTAGATTAGATTAGATTAGATTAGATTAGATTAGATTAGATTAGATTAGATTAGATTAGATTAGATTAGATTAGATTAGATTAGATTAGATTAGATTAGATTAGATTAGATTAGATTAGATTAGATTAGATTAGATTAGATTAGATTAGATTAGATTAGATTAGATTAGATTAGATTAGATTAGATTAGATTAGATTAGATTAGATTAGATTAGATTAGATTAGATTAGATTAGGAGTTGGACGTTATTTGTCCTTGTCCACCGCGACCTTTTCAGATCTATTGTGGGACTCCGTTTGTTTTAGAGTATGTCGTCTAGCCTGGTCTTTTTTATTAGACTTAGTAGCTTTGACAGTGGCTCCCGCATGTAGTTGCATGCAATTGGCTTTTCTTCGCCCAATGTTAGAAACCTCATTCCAGCCAAGCCTTCACATTGGCACAGGACGTGGAATGATGTTTCCTCTTCTTCTTCACAGAACCTGCACAAAGTTGCTTCTTCTGCTGGATTTATGACACTCATGTGCCTTTTGAGGCGACAGTGTCCAGTAAGAAGGCCTACTGTTATCCTAACGATTTGACGTTTTTGATCCAGTAGGTCTTTCGTAAACTTGGCCGATGGTTCCTTGATGAACTGTTTAGCCTGTCTCAGTCTTGGATAGTTGTTCCACCATTCCTGAGACTCTTTTTACATCCATTGTTTAATGGATGCCTTGCACAATGCCTTAGCGACTCCACAAAAGGGTTTAGGGCCTGTCATGGCCTTATCTGAGCCTTCTCGGGCTAATTCGTCGGCCTTTTCGTTGCCCTGATATCCCTCATGGCCTGGAACCCAGGCTAAGGTCACCTTATTTTGACTACTTAGCTCTGTCAGGTCTTCTAGATAGTCTTTCACCAGTCGTGATTTGATTTCTGGTGAGAGAATTGCCTTTAGAGCTGCTTGGCTATCAGAGTATATGGCAATAGTTTTGCCTGATACTTGCTGATTTAATATTTCTCTTGCACAGTGTTGTATGGCTATTAGCTCAGCCTGGAACACTGTTGCATATTTTCCTAAGCTTAGTGAAATCGTTGATTTCGACTTGGGTCCATAGATTCCAGCACCGGCTCCTTCCTTGGTTTTTGAACCGTCTGTGTACCAGAGGAGTTCAGCCTGTACGGGAGGTCCCTGTTACCAGGATTCTCGGGCTGGTATTTGAAATTGAAAATTTCTTTCAAATTTGTATGTGGTTATGGCTCTATCAGTAGGCATAGCTAGAATATTATCCCTTTGTACTTGCTGATATAGCCTTGTGTGGTCGGCGCTATGTAGTTGGCTTATTGGGTTTATATATTATTATAAGCGATTCCAAACTTCTATCAATATGTGCTCAGTGGCGCAAAAGTTGGATAGCGTGGAAAGCAAGTTGGTGGTTCGAGCCCTGAACTTTTAGTTTTTTTTTTTTTTTAAGGAAAAATATTATTGTTTTATTATTTCACAGTCTTGGTAATTTAAAATGTTTAGTTTTTCCTTTTTTTTTAAGAAAAAAAAAACAGAAAAAAAAAACAAAAGCTGCGGGGGCTCGAACCACCAACTTGCTATCCACACTATCCAAATTTTGACCACTGTACGCTCTGCGCCACCGAGCACATATTGATAGGAGTTTGGAATTGCTTATAATATATAACAATTTATTACTATAGTAAATAGGACTTATTTTTATGTTGGCCGGCAATTAAACCCCGGAAAAAGTGTCTGCCTTTTTGGAATTAATTATTTTTATATTTAATTAAGACGCTATTAAAATTTCAGCGTGAATCAAACACTTCAAATCATATTTTAAAAAATCAACTTTGGGGTTGATTTATTAATTATAAACCCTCTCAAAAGTGTCTGCCTAAATTACTAGTATTTTTAGAATTATCTAAACTTTTAATTGTTGTTTGTTGGCCTCTGAATCAAACACTTTTTTGGGTCATATTTTACGACCCCTTTCTATTACGCGCAGTACCTGGTATCCCGGATGGGCCTAGCCATATATTTTTTTTCCATTCAAATGATTTCAAATTACAAAATTTCAAAGTGCATCAAACACTTAATGAAATTTGTGTTACTAGCTCTTGGACTATAATA